TGTTCCACAGGCTTTGTCTGCAACACCGCAAACAACATTGAGGGTTTGTGTTATTTATAAATAAAAATACTAAGAATATTAGTAATTGCAGTATTGTGCTAATTACATCGGTGCCTGTGCGAACATCTGGAAGAGCCGATGGAGAGACTGTTTCCATGGCAACCAAGATAGCGGTTGAGAAGCGGACAGGATTTAATTTGATNAAACATTCCCTCAAAGCCACAGGAGTTCCATCGCTCTATAAAAGCAAAATTTGAATTAGTAACGATTATTGACATTGACAATTTCATGAATAGCCGGAAGCATAACGGACCTGGTAATGAACCACTCTTTTCTTGGGTGAATCAGAGACAGAGTCCAATTCCCCCGAGTGATTCCTCTGTAAAGGTAGAGCACATATAAGAGTTTTTAGGATGACTAGCCATAGTTAAATAAACGCCTTTCTTTCATTGCAAGACAACAAAAGATAAATACCTTCCTGCCGTATCTCACGATTGTCCACTCAGAAGGGTGTGGAGCAGGAGGAGAACGAGGAAGACTCCCCACGCCCTTCACAACCACACGGGGCACCACCCTCGGTTTGTACGCAGGAGTTGCCTGACTCTGCACCAGTGGTTTTGGTTCTGCCAACTCCAGGAACTGGTAACCAGCATTCCAAATCAGATCCCTGAGGATGTGCATCCCGTGGTCATCGCTTAGGTGGATCTGCACATATAAGCGGTAATCAGAGATAAAATTAACATTTCACATTAATGCAAATATATTCCTTACTGTGTTAAAAATGAATAAATACTCACGCCATCACGGCACCACAGACTCAGACGGTCCAGAGGAAAGTGGTCAGCGGTGGAATAATAAGGAATTCCTGAAAAGATAATGACAAAATAAAAAGAAAACGTTGCAAAGACCAAATCAGCAAAGATAACATAAAAAGAACTGAAATACATTACTAAACAAAAACAAAATGTGAAATATTTTAATACCTACCTAGCTTTGCTGACCTGCGGTGAAATTCTTGCTGGTAGAATAACTGTTTCTCTCTAGACTCGGTTAAACGCGGGACAAAGCCGATACAAAAGACCTAGAAAAAATAACCGATTTAGAAATATATATTCCAAACACCTAGGAAAATAATAACCTGTTAAGGAATTGATTTTTATATCACTGTTTCTATATTGAAGTCGTCAAAGACTATTACTCTGCATGCTTCAGTAGCAGAAGAGAAAATTCTAAAACATGCTGACCAGTGGTATCTGTGAACTGGTATTGAGAAACACTGATTTTTTATCACCAACAGTGCCCACCTTAGGCCAACGACTACCGACGGCCAAAAGGAACCGCTCAAATTCCTGTCCCGCCTTTTCTGGTGTAAGACTGGCCGTAAGGTCGTTTGAAGGACCCATGACGCAGACGGCGTCAGGCTCCCGAGGCACATTGGCTTTCATTGCCTCAAGATGCAAGTCGGCTGCGCAGGCTCCAGGGGTGGACATAAAGCCGAACTGTAGGCAGCCACTTGGCATCTCAACAATGCCGTCCACGAAGGACCGCAAATGGGACGCTCCGATGAGAAGGATAAACTAAAATAGTACAAACACAGCAACATAAGAACTATACCTACATATTCTATTTGAAATCATTGCAGATTTTACTTACTTTCTTATCAGGATGCGCCCGTGGGATGACCAGCTTGTGACAGTGGTTAGTCACTACACTCGCTGGCCATGGCTTCACGGAATGACGCCAGCCGGTACCACGCCCTATTAAGAAACAAAAAGAAAGAAGATATAAGAATTATTTCAATAACACATTAAATATGTACTCTGGATACTTAATCTGACATAGAATTAAGACATTCAAATTAAAATATAATTAAATTAAACACTGACGTGAAACAAAATCGCTGGAGGCATTGGGTATCCCTACACGACCAATTCCAACTGCTTCCACCCTTCTCTTAGCAGCTTCGGATCGGCGGTGGGACTTTCCTCGAGGCATCTACATTTAAAGATGAAATAATTAAGTGACATGAATATTTATTGATAATTATACCAATACCAATATGAATATCATAGTGTATCACAAAAGTGAGTAGACCCTTCAAATTTCTGCAGATATTTAAGTA